CTTACAACTGTTTAATACAATGTAGGCTACTGTCAAAAAAACAAAAACACGAGCTAACTGGTAGAAGTAGTATGAAAATGACTTGTGCTAGCTGTATTTTCTGTTTTCTGCAGCAGCCGAATTTAAACCTTTTGAAAAGAGTTTTCAAATACGCATTTAGCAGCATCGGACCTAAGCCCTTTTTTTCTCAAAGTTTTTCTGCACTGCCTTTCCTTTTTTACGGTCCATTATCTATCTAGCTTTTACTGAAAATTAGCTCGTGTTGCAATCTCACTGATGACGTGCTTGATTTTGACTGAACGGTTCGGTCGGCCCATCTCGGGACCAGGCGGCCGGCCGTTGCCGACTGGGCCAAATGCTTAACATTTATTTATTATTAACATTATTATTACTATAACCATAGAGAAATTGTGCAAGCGATAAAAACCCGTCCCATGCGCTGTTGGCCCGTAAAAACTATTTTATTTATATATATATATATATTTAGAAAAAAATCTGACCGGCCCATACTAAACAAAATGGTCCGGCCCCTCTGGCATTTGCCAGAATTGCCAGATGGCCAATCCGCCCCTGGTTTCAGCTACTTGGACAGAAGTGAAGTAGATGCTGTGCCTTTGTACCATACACTACTTTTAAGTTCATAGCTGTCAACACATTTGTCTTTTAAATCATACATAATTAATTAAGAGGCCATTCAAAGGAATACTTCAACCAAAATGGAAAATTAGCTGAAAATGTACTCACCCTCAGGCCATCCGAGATGTAGATGAGTTTGTTTCTTCACTGGAACAGATTTGGAGAAATTTAGCATTACATCACTCACCAATGGCTCACCCAATCCTCTGCACTGAATGGGTGCCATCAGAATGACAGTCCATGGATTTTAGTCGGAAGCAACATTATGAAGTTAAAAAAATGACGATGTATTTATTACAAACACACTGTTCACTTCACAAGATGTTAATTGATGGATAGGAGTTCAGGAGTTCCTTTTGGATTATCATGACTAATGTGACACTCATTCTGACGGCACCCATTCACTGCAGAGGATTCATTGGTGAGCAAATGACGTAATGCTAAATTTCTCCAGATCTGTTCAGATGAACAAAATCAAACTCATCTACAACTTTGGATGGCCTGAAGAACGAGTACATTTTCAGCAGATTTTCATATTTTGGCGAACTATTCCTTTAATAAGACTGTCCTTATAAAACAATACTCATGTTCTTTTATAGATGCTGAACTCAGTCCACATTTCATTTTTAATACCCATCATAAACCAACAGATGGAGCAAGATGGAAACTAAGACAAAAGATGGAAAACAGAGACAGAAACAAACAGAACAAAACACATAACAAAACAGTCCTGTTATTGTGTAAATACCATGAGAAAAAGTATCTGAAGTAAAGTGAATTGTGTTAAATGTTCTGTTGTCTGACCATCGTCACACAGCTCTGAATGTCTCTAATGTGCAGCCCATCAGATCCTTCCACTTCAGGATGTTGAATCATTTAAATCTTTTGTTTAATCAGTTTTTATTAATAAACGCCTGTCATTTATGCTCAAGGATGAGATGAATTTAACCAGGCTTGTCAGTGCCACCTAGAGGACACGTGTCTGGGTGGTGTGATTCTGTCAGGCTTAATTTTTCCATTAAGCCTTAATAATTCTGCAGAAGATTTCCCATGAATCTTTGTGGGTTCTCTCATTTTAATCATGAATTTCTATTCACCAGGAGTAGATCTGTTTAACAAAGTTTGACATGATCAAACTGACTGAGGAGAGAAGTGGGAAAATTGCTTTATCTGTTTCTTGTAATAAAGAAACTGGTAAGAGACAGATTAAAGAATGATCACTGAATTTTTGTCTTGTTCTCTTTTCTTGTATATTTGGATCAAAATGATGAGGGCAAGACTAGTGCATAACATTTCCATCAGTGCTAATTTAAACTCTTAAACAATTTAACTTGAAATTGAACTAACTTATGTAACTATCAAAAAGTATACAGTGGGTACGGAAAGTATTCAGACCCCCTTAAATTTTTCACTCTTTGTTTTAATAAAGGAAGCTAAACTGTGTGTATGTTTGGGCTCAGAGAGACATAGTTTTCATTATTTTATTATAGGTATACACGTAATGTATGTTTGTTTATGTAAGATTAATTTTAATTAATACATGCCTATTCTCAATCGTTTATGTCGTGCTGAATTGACTTTAATGTCTGTTTTTGTCTGTACTGTTGCCAGACAAGTTCATTAACAAGGATAAACTGAATAAATGGATGAATGAATAAATACACAAGCAAATAAACAAGGTGATTAAAGTATTCGTATTTTATATGCTGTATTTGTCATGTTTTATTATTTTATCTCACAGCCTTACTTCTCAGGCGTGACTTATTTAATACTGTCCTGTCTGTCATTATGTGGCCTAGTTTAATAACATGGATTGAATGTAAGCTGAGTGTTCTGTGTTATGTTTTAGCATGTAGTTTAAGGGAAATCATAGTGTGCTGTCATTTCACTTACATGGTTGTGAAGTGTGAAGTGAAATTCCACTGATGAACACATGAGGGCAGCAGTCAGCTGAGCACGTTGTCTCATTTAAGTTGTTATTTTCTGTTCCTGTCAAGTGACATGTTGATGGCTTCGTGGCATGTGATACAGTCTATAGCAGGGGTGCCCAAACTCGGTCCTGGAGGGCCGATGTCCTGCAGAGTTTAGATCCAACCCCAATTAAACACACCTGAACCAGCTAATCAAGCTCTTACTAGGCATACTAGAAACTTCCAGGCAGGTGTGTTGAGGCAAGTCGGAGCTAAACTCTGCAGGACACCGGCCCTCCAGGACTGAGTTTGGGCACTCCTGGTATATAGGAAATTATTAAATGTATGGGGGAAAAAAATATTTGTAAATGTGTTTATTAATAAAATAAATATTTGTGCTGGTGAACAACCTAATACTAAAATATAATTTAAATATAAGTAGTGGAGAGCCATGGTTTTCACTTAATATATTTTGTTATATTTCCTATCAATTAAAATTATGAGAGCATCTCAAACAGGAGTGTCAAACTCAATTCCAGGAGGGCTGGAGATTTTTGTTCCAACCCTGCTCCAACACACATACCATGAAGTTTTCAAATAAGCCTGAAAAACGTGATTAGTTGGATCAGATGTGTTTAATTAGGGTTGAATCTAAACCCTGCAGGGCTCCGGCCCTCCTTGCCTTGTCTTGTGCAGCACTGCGTCTTTAACGATGTGGGCGGGGCTCATCTCTGTCTGGATGTGAGGCGGCCCAGCGTCTCTAGCGGTGTGAAAACGGAGAGAAGTGAAGGTAAGCCGCGGCACATTTCTGCTTTCTCCGTGTTATTATTAGTGCGCTGATGTATAGAGGCGGCGCCGCACACTCCGTTTCAGTCACCTAGAGTCAGAAATAAAACAATTCCACAAATGGGAGCGAGTCAGTATGTCACGCTCTCAATGAACATGTTGATGAATATGATCTCATGTTCATCTGAATGTAACGCAGGGCAGAGATATGTTAAATGATACTGATGACTGACTGACACTTAGCTAGTGAATAGAAGTCGTCATTCACAAATACAACACGTTTTATAGAATAGCTTTTTTTATTCATGCCATCGAGATATGCATGTTTTATTGCAAATGTTATTGTAAGCATAATAATTGAGATTGAATTACCTATTATTTCTTGTTAGTTTGAATGTCTCCCCTTATTTAATCATTTCAGACTGTGTTCACCTGTGACTGCAGATATTTTGCAAATAGCAAAAAGATTGTGTCCACGGCCCCAATCCAACTTCTAAAATCCAAAGACAGCGATTGTATCATTAAACTGTTCTTCCATACCCTACCTCTGCCCCTAAAATCAGTTTGATGCTCATCAGATTGGTGATTGGTTAATAGAAAATGTATTTCCAGGAAAGGAACAATGTACTTGTATGTGTCTTAAAGGGACGGGGACGGGGGACGGGGGACGGGGGACGGGGGTGGAGTCGCGATTTCTACCCCAACGCAACTGCTCATCCTCAACCTGTCTGACTTTATTTCTTCTGTGAAACATAAAATGAGATATTTTGAAGAATGTTGGTAACCATTGGTGACCACTGACTTTCATTGTATGGATTAAAAAAAAAACGGAGACATTTCTCAAAATATCTACTTTGTTTCCTTTCGGGTGAACTCATAACTCATGTTATTGTTCTAAAACACCAGTTTCAGCAGGAGAAAGCCATGGCAGCTCCATTCAGATCACTTGTGGGACGGGGGGGGGTGGAGTCGCGATTTCTACCCCAACGCAACTGCTCATCCTCAACCTGTCTGACTTTATTTCTTCTGTGAAACATAAAATGAGATATTTTGAAGAATGTTGGTAACCATTGGTGACCACTGACTTTCATTGTATGGATTAAAAAAAAAACGGAGACATTTCTCAAAATATCTACTTTGTTTCCTTTCGGGTGAACTCATAACTCATGTTATTGTTCTAAAACACCAGTTTCAGCAGGAGAAAGCCATGGCAGCTCCATTCAGATCACTTGTGGAAGATTATCCAAGATACCTCAAATCATTTGAGCTTTTTCTGGAGCGCTCATCAGAGCACCAGTGCATGCAGGACTTCATTCATAATACGCTACCAGACATACTGGCAAGGTGCTTTATCGTTCTTGATGAATGTCATGTTTTATTCATTTAGCCTGTCTTAGATTTGTAATGCAGAGTGTGCCAGCAGATTTAACAATGACAAGATATTATAATATTATCTTGCCTTTATTATGTTCTCTCTCTCTCTCTCTCTCTCTCTCTCTCTCTCTCTCTCTCTCTCTCTGCAGTATTGGGGGGGGGAGATCCATTTTCAATGTAATGGGAGGAGGGAGTGGAGCAGGTATACTTTTCATAACGACTGAATTATTAACATTCTGTTTATATCATAATTTCATGCAGTAGCCTATATCAGATTTTAATACCGAACAGAGTTCTCACTTCTCCATATTCATCTAATTTCCAGGTGAGATTGATCTAGGGATGCTTGCTCAGCTACACCTGAAACATCCACATGTCAAAGTCGACAATGAAGTGGTGGAACCAAGCAATGATATGCTGCACAAATATAAAGGTACCAATCATTTTATTGATGCTCATTTAAGCTAAACGTATATACGCTTTTACTAATTCTAACAATAACTGGCTATTTATTCTTTTTTTTATTATTATTATTCTTTCTGTTTAGTTCGGGTGTCAACAACTCCAGATCTTGATCATATTAACTTTGAGTGGAATAAGATGACGGCATCTGAATTTGAAAAACACTGGCAACAGAAAAACCCTGGGAAAAAGATGGACTTCATTCACATGATACAGGTTTTGAGATGTCATGATATTATGGAAGTAGCGACAGGAAGTTTTCTTCCATTTTGTGACAGACATTCGAGTGAATTGGATTATCAAAAAATAAATTAATGTAGGGTGATTCTATCCAATCAACAAGCAATGATTCGTTGCTTGTTGATTGGATGGAGGCAGATCTTAATGTGAGTTTGCAGTCGATTGTAAGAAAGGGACGGGTCCCAAGTTGACTAAATGATTGAACAAGTCTGGCATACATCAACAGAGAAGTCTGACGTTTTACTGGAGATCGAGTTAAGACATTTTAATTTAGAAATACAAAAATATGAATAAAATAAATAAAAATGATAAAAAAAAATGAAACGTGCATGAAACATGCATTTAGAAAAAATTAATTCATTTTAATTTCATGTGACAATCATCAACTTAAATATAGTATAGTATATTATTCAATCAATTAAAGTGATATAATTGAGGTCTGCATGTCAGACGTGTTTTGTTGTGTTGTGTTTGTAGAATATTAATATCAGTCTGTTTAATAGATGCTGTACTACGTCACAGATCCAGAGGCCACTGTCTCATTTTTTCGGAGTCTTCTACACAAAGATGGGAAACTCTTAATCATTCTGGTGTCAGGTACAGAAAATTATCTGAGTTCAAAACGTCACCAAAGTGCGTAACTTAAATAATGTACCATTCAAGTAACTATGCCTTTTGCTTAAGTGGACTTTGGCTCACAGGTTTAGCTCAACTATGCTCAGGTTCAGAGGAAATGGAGTATAAAAGGTGAAATCAAATCAGTCAAAAAAGTGTTTTTTTTTCTAATTTTCATTAAGAATTTAATATTTGTAGGGCAGTACAGTGGGTTCAAAATTAAAAAATGTGTCTGTTCTGTTTAAGGAAACAATGACCTCAGTTCTGCTTCTACATATTTTAGGTGAGAGTGGATGGGGAAAATTATGGACAACCTTTAAAAAACAACTGTGTAATACTGAGATCAGCCAGTGTGTTACTACAGGAGATATAAAGACCTTCCTAGACACTGAGGGCATCCCCTACCAGAACTATGAGCTTCTGTCCCAGATGGACATCACAGAGTCCGGCCAAGCTGAGCTATCGCGGGAGAAGAGCCTTGGTGAGAGAGGTAAAGAAGAACCCAAAGATCACTGTGGCTGAGCTCCAGAGATGCAGTCGGGAGATGGGAGAAAGTTGTAGAAAGTCAACCATCACTGCAGCCCTCCACCAGTCGGGGCTTTATTGGACTTACTGAGACATCCTGACTGCAGTAAAGAGGTGAATGGCAGGATCATATTCAACAACAACCTGGGAGTCTTAGTGGTTGAGCCGTAGCTCCAAGACTCCTTTATATCGCACCTGCACAAGAATATACAGTGGTTCTCAACCTTTTTGACCCAAAGCCCCTCATTGTCCACATTGTCAATAATATCAAAAGGCCCAATGACTTTTCCAGCTGTTTATGATTTACTGATAAGGATTAAGAATTATTTCTACATTTTAAAAGCTGTAAAAACTAGGCAGATGTGTATTCGTTAATACACTGAATTGTAAGATTTTATTAATTAACATGACATTTCTAAATCACACTTTCATAATCAGACTACCTCATATATTTTTTCAAGTCAATGGGAACCTTGGTTCAAAAAAATATATAAAACAGTTGCTACGGTGGTCAATTAAACAAAGAAATATATTGATTTTTAGTTATTTTGTCTTATTTTAAACCATTTTAAGTCATTTTAAGGCCCCTTTAGTGGGCCCTGGCCTCATGGTTGAGAATAACTGGTCGAGGAAGTACAGAATGTCTGTATTTTCACATTTTTAGAAATGTTCTGTTTCTTTACTGTTTTCTACAGAGAGAAGAAGAAATGTGGCTTATCATAACAATAGAATTTATTTGAATGAATTTATTCCAGAGCCTAAAAGTGCCCCTATTATGCCATTTTAAAAGTTCCTAATATTGTTTTGGGAGTCTCCTACAGTGCATATTCTCAAAATATGCATTTAATATCATTTTCCAACGATTCTCAAACAGTTCCTTCTAAGATTCAGTCTCTCTAAACCCCTCCTTTCTGTGAGCCTGCTCTGATCTGATTGATCAGATGCCCCAGAGCTGGTCTGTTGTAGAGCCGTTGAAAAACTCGTTTCCCATTTCTCAACAGCTCTGGTCTGTTGTGATTGGTCTACCGTGTACAGCACGTGTCGGAAACGATACACCCATTGCCATAGTTCCGTATTTTGAACGCTCGATAGAAAATATAAACATCTATTATTTATCATACTTACAGGTTGTGATTCAGTGGAGCCAGCTGATCCAAATAAACTGTGCTCTGAGCCATCTTTCAAGAGCAAGAGTTTTATAAATCCTGTGTTGAACCAAAGTCCCTTTCAAGGAAAGTCTGTTCACTCGGCGGCCATATTTGCAATGCCTCCGGGCAGCTCACCAAAGACTGAAATCTCAAAAACTGGCCTATGAACTCACAAATAGATTTTGTAATAGAATATAATTTTCAAATCTGCAACAAAATCTGAAATGATTTGCCCTATGAATGTTGTTTATTATGCTCATATAGCGTTAAAAAAAAAGCTTATTTTTCAGGCTAGACCAGCCAATGCGCAGTCATAACACGCTCATGACTGTGCATGCGCATTGGCTGGTCTAGCCTCAGTTTTCTATGGGAACCAGAACTTCTAACGGCTGCTGCAGTGACCCAATGACTTTACCAATCAGCGATTCATTTAAAAGGCGGGACTATTCCGCCATATCGGCATTGCAGTTTCTCCCATTCATACGTTATAAGAGTGAACCGTCTTTGTATTTTCTATAGTCTTTGGTTGAACTCCCCGAGATTAGAAAAGCAGTCGTCAGTAAAATGACGTGTGGGTGGGGTCTAGTTGTTTGCAGCCGGCCAATGTAGAACATAGGCGGGCATTATGCAAATGTGTTACCCCATGATGTGTAGCCGTCACGGAACTAGGATTCGAATTACTGACGACTTGTTTATGCTGTTCAGAGTTAATTCTTTCTTTTGGGAGACAATAACTGTTTTTATTTATCGTGCACTTTCGGCTTTACAACTTTGCAGATAGTTTACAGTCATATACAGCTACATTACACACTGCATGAAAGGCAGTATTCGAAATGGCATAAAAGGAGCACTTTAAACTATTGTCTCCTCATTCAAGGTAATTGCTGTTCTAAAGTATGTAATATTGTAACATGATGTTGTTCTGGGTGGACAAACAGAAAAAGGAAGACCCTAGAGAACAATGCACAGTTTTGATGGCATCAACATCAAACAAAAGTGTTTTAACGAAAGCCTTATGTAGGTGACGTGTCATGAAGAAACCTTGTAGCACAAACTCCAGTATGTGTAACTTGTACTTTGTGAAACTCGTCTAAGCAGCAAAGTACAACTTTTGTATATTGACTTATTAACTCAGTGAGTGAATGATTTTTAACAGTCGTTATGATGAAAGAGATTAGATTGTATTTTTTGGTGACTAGTTGTGTTGTTGTGACCTTATACCTTGTTTAGGTTTGGAGAGATGTTTAATGCCTAACCAGACAGGACAAAGGTTGTATAGACATTTCAATGTTAAAAATACATATACTTGAAACTACAAGTTTTATTTGATAACTGAGTGTAAACGGCTTGTTGAAATAGCACTGCCTTCCCTTTTGTATTTGCTTACAGTATTATTGCAAAGTAACTTGAACATTGTCTTGTGTGTCAATCAGCATTTCTGTACATCTGTCCCACATAACAATAAAACATTACATTAAATTGACATGATTAACTTAAAAAGAAGCTTGAGTGTCTTTTGAGCCATATACCAAACTTAATCTTACTATCATTACCATAATGTAATCTCGAAACAGTCGATTTTCTGCCAACTACTGGACTGGAATTGGATGGCACACAAGAGAGCAATGGCAGCTTTGATTTCATTTTTAAAATTGTGTAAATAGTGTTCTTTTTTTCCACTTAAACCTCATGGATGCTATTAGAGTTAAAGTCACGATAGTGTTGAATCAAACCAAACGCATTTTTGTGTTTTTCGAAAGAGAAAAAGTCATAAAGTCTAGAACAATATGATAGTGAGTAAATTACTTTTTGTTTTTATATATATAATAGGATTAAAGTATTTTAACATAGAACGAAAAATTGGTACCTTGTGGGTTGATGGCATACCATTCTGCAGACCCCAAGGTTATCTTAAGTTAATTCATTAGGTTCTCTGGTAATATACATTTCTAATTAAGAGAGTGTACTGCACTGCAGCATCAATTATTATGTAGTTTTAATCATTTCTGCAGTTTGCCCTTCTCTGAACAGTACTGCAGGAGGAAAGCACTTTGCATTTTAAGTGATAGTGTCCTGTGGGCCACACTGCAACAATACATCTTGTCTCCACCTACTGGTAATTAAAGTAACTTTTTATAACAATATAAAGTCCATTCTGCTGCAGTGCAAATTATAGTATGTGCAATCTCCAACAATGCCCCTCAGTGGAACCAAAGATCTCACCAAAGACAACTATAGGCAAATAGCAGTTTCTGCTAATCTCATATTAATCTTGTGTACCTATAGAGTAGTATTGCGTCCTTCATATTTCCGAGTATTTAGTTTAGTTTTATCAGATTTATAAACGACAAATACTAGGGCGTGAAAACAGTATAAAAACCTCCTACGAATGCACACGAGAGATCCGCATTCGCGCACACCAACCAACAAATAGCAATGTAATTACTAGAAACGAAACTGCACTTTTAATTATTTCAAATAAAATACAAATTGCATAAACTATTCTTAAATTTTTTAAGGGACTAGTAATTAAATTACTATAATTTGATTACTAAACAGTCAATTACACCCAAAACTGGAAAATATAGCCACATTCAAAAAGGACTGTTTCAGTGCAAAGGCAGGCATGTTTAAATGCCTGTAAGGTTCAGAAGCACCAATATTTAAAGCTGCAGTCCGTAACATTTTTAGTTAAAAATGATCCGAAATTAATATTTGAGCAAGTACATAACCAGCCAGTGTTCAAAACTATCGCCTTACTTTAGCCCGATTCACAATGGTTATAAGCTTATAATAATATTTTCTAATTTGAGTGGAATGGGTAGGTTTTCGTGGGAAATTCGAGCATGGCACTGTGTCATTATGTCACATCTGTAATAGTGATGGGAAGTTCGGATCATTTTACCGACTTGGACCTTTGAGTCTCGTTCAGCAAAATGTAATTAAAATGTTACGTGTTACTTCCCTAATACGTCTACTACTTACGCAAACGTTGATCACACTACAAACAATACAAAACTGCTATAAGAAACAGAAAAGATTAATTCATTGTTTACCTGGGTCTTCAGTCTATGATTAGCTCACCTCACCTCTTATCTGACAAGTCTTCAGGTTTGGGCTTACGGGGCTGTCACGTGATGAATAAACGACTCGAACCCGAAGACTCAAGAGATGAACTAATCAATTCTCTTTCTGGCTCAGACTGCATTGGTTAAAGCTTATGAGGCTGTCACGTGATGAACGAACAACTCGGAAAAACCCGAAGACTCGAGATGAACTAATCAATTCTCTTTCCGGCTCAGACTGCATTGGTTAAAGTTGGGGCTTTATGGCAGAGTGGCCCGACGGAAGCCTCTCCTCAGTGCCAGACACATGAAAGCCCGCATGGAGTTGTGAGATGGTGAGAAATAAGATTCTCTGGTCTGATGAGACCAAGATAGAACTTTTTGGCCTTAATTCTAAGCGGTATGTGTGGAGAAAACCAGGCACTGCTCATCACCTGTCCAATACAGTCCCAACAGTGAAGCATGGTGGTGGCAGCATCATGCTGTGGGGGTGTTTTTCAGCTGCAGGGACAGGACGACTGGGAAAGATGAATGCGGCCAAGTACAGGGATACTCCCCAAGACAACTCGTTCTTCCCGAGTCACATTAAAGATTCATTCAAAATGAAAGAATCGTTCAAGAACGACCCAACACTAATCTGTAAACATAAAGAAGTTGTCCCGGCTACTAGGCTATCGCATGTGAGGATCCTGCAGGTGGCCGATCGTTTATATCCTTTTCTCACAGCAGCCAGAATAATTAAATGTATAATTTTGATGGCGGATTGTAATCCATAAAGGATTGTGTGTTTATGAAACGCATGTGAATGAAATTAAATTATATTCCAGTTATAAATGTGCTTCTGATTACAGCTAGCCTGGGATTATAAAGATTTGTATTTTAAAGAAAACCATTGAAGGGAGCAAAAATTGCTTTTTGGGTTAAAAGAGTTTCTTAATGACAATTAGATTAGACTGTGTAGAAATTGAAATCTACACGCTAATAC